CTATGAAATGCTGCTGTGCTGACCGCGCTGCCGTTTCTTTTGCAGGCCATGGCATCGACAGAGGAAAGGGCCTACGAGATCATGAGAGAGCTCGACGTCAGTTATGTTCTGGTCATCTTTGGAGGGCTGACGGGCTACTCTTCAGATGGTACGCCGCCTAATACTCTATAACTAGTGCAGCACGTAAGGTGTTGTGTTTTTAAGCTTCTAAATAAGTGAAATTGAGTTTTAGGAGTTCCTTTTTTTTTGTCAACTCATTAAACATGCAGCACATGAAGTAAGACATTACTGTTTGGACGGTTTCTAATTGGTGTATGTGTTTGCATGACAGACATCAACAAGTTTCTGTGGATGGTCCGTATTGGAGGAAGTACAGACACAGGCAAGCATATCAAGGAGCACGACTACTACACTGCCACCGGAGAGTTCAGGGTGGACCGCGAGGGCTCGCCAGTCCTGCTTAACTGCCTCATGTACAAGATGTGTTACTACCGCTTTGGCCAGGTCTACACAGAGGCCAGTGAGTGCTTCTAGTACCTTCTACCCTTAGTCTGATCTATTTATCACTTTATATGAGCCTCTTAAATTCCAACTGGAGGAACGTGATACACTGTATTTGATGGTTTTTCTGATTAATTCTGGTTCCCTCTTTTGCAGAGCGCCCACCTGGTTATGACAGAGTGAGGAATGCCGAGATTGGGAACAAAGACTTTGAACTGGATGTACTGGAGGAGGCCTACACAACAGAGCACTGGCTGGTTAGGATATACAAGGTAAACAAGCTAACTTTGTCTCTATGACAGTTGTTATAGTTCTGTATTTTCATGTTGAGTGTTTGGTTCCAGATTGTTTCCATTGTAGGTTTACTCATTTCAGTTTTTATCACTTTGTTTTTCTGATTATTAGAATATGAAGGCAATTATTGCTTAAAACTGCCTCAAGCTGCTCACATGCTTATCTTACATTATAGTAAACATTGTTTTTAATTTAATGAAATGTTATATGACTAAACTATAAAAGCTTAAGTTTACTGATTAATGCAAATTCTTGTGACTTTACCTTTTTAATCACTCAAAGATTAGTTTGTTTGAGGGCGGGCTTTTTTTGTTTTTTGTCTTTTTAATAAAGTGACCTTTCCACAGTTTAAAGCTAAACTGTGTAAACATCTAAAATCAGTTTCAGAACAGAACTTTCTAAGCTAACGGTGTTCTCCTGTTCTTTAGGTGAAAGATCTGGACAATCGGGGTCTTTCAAGGACATAAGGCGCACAGACAGCAGTGAAAACGGCCTTTAAGCGCACTGAACGCCTTC